TGAGATGTTCTGGGATTCCCATTTTTCTGAGCACATTCCACAGCTTGATGTGATTGACACAATCAAAGGCTTTTCTATAATCGATGAAACACATACTGACTTCTTTTAGGTATTCCTTGGCTTTTTCAATTATCCAGTGTGCATCGGCAATAATGTCTCATGTTCCTCGGCCTTTTCTAAAGCCAGCTTGAACATCTGGCATCTCCTTTTCCATGTAGGGTTCTAATCTGTGTTGGGTGACCCTAAGCATTATTTTGCTAGCATGTGAAATTAAAGATATTGTACAATAGTTTGCACACTCTGTTAAGTCTCCATTTTTGGTAATGTAGATTGACCTCTTCCAATCAGTTGGCCACTGTGTTGTTCTCCAGATTTGCTGGCATAACTTGGTTAGAACCTTTACTGAATCTTCTTCTGTTGCTTGCCATACTGGGTATTCCATCAGTTCCTGTAGCTTTCCATCTTCGTAATGACTGGAGTGCTGATCTAACTTCATCTTCTAGTACTAGAAGTTCTTGTAAGTAAGGAATATCTTCTAAGGTATCTTGGATGTTGACCTCTCTACTGTATACTGTTTCAGTATACTCTTTCCATCTTCCTTTGAATTGGTTACTATCTGTCCATTGGTGTCCTTTTTCATACCACTTTGAGATTGGAACCTCCTGCTGAGTTCAGAGATACTTTGAAAGACTTTCCTTGTTTTTCCATGTTTGTTTCCATCTTCAGTGTCTTTACAGATGTTGTTGTAATTCTGTTTCTTGTCTCTTCTAACAGCTCTCTGAAGCTTCTTGTTAAATTCCATTCTGAGATTTTTGTCTTTCTTGGCTTTGGTCTCTCTTCTCTTCTTGGCAATTTCCATGGTTTGTTCTGACACCCAATTTGCTTTCTTCTCTTTCTTCATTTTTGGCAGTCTCTTTTCACAGTCATCCTTAACAATTTCTTTAAGTTAATTCCATAATTCCTCTGATTCTCTATCATTGAGGTTCAGGACTTCAAAGCAATTCCTGATGTTATCCTTGAAAGTGGTGGGTATATGTTCAAGAACATATCATGGAAACTGGCTTTCTTCTTCTTCTTTAGCTTAACTTGGAGTTTGCACATGAGCAGTTCATGATCTGTTCCATAGTCAGCACCTGGCCATGTCTGAAGCTATAATTGAGCTCCTCCACCTCCTTTTAGCAATAATATACAGTAATCAATAATAAAATGCAAAGGGAGAATCAAATTAGTCCCCTCTAGGTGGCAGCACCTAGTTAACCTGGGATCATCTTGAAAGGCTAAGCAGGGTCAAGCCTGGTTAGTACTCAGATGGGGAACCTCCAGGAAATACCAGGACTGTAGAAGAACATCCCCCTCCCCACCAGATTCATTTGGCCCCACTCTGACCTTGTTGAAAAGAGTTCTTAAAACTTGACTCTTCCTGCAGGCCTTAGGCTAGACTGGGTGCAGGACCCTTTTCAGTTATAAGGCCCTTTTTAGAGCTTTTGGTTGTCGTCCCCCCCCCCCCCGCCATGCCTGTTATTTTTTGGTTTGTAATTTTGAATTGTTTTAATATTGTACACCCCCCAGAGTTGCAACAGTTGGGCAGCTTTATGTACTGAATAAATAAATTAGGCTGGGAGGTAAAAGACATCCTGGGAAAAGACACTGTGAACCACTTTTGTGTTCTTGCCAAAGAAACTGCACAGATGCAGCCAGGAAGTCACTGGGAATCAACCTCAATTTGGAGACAGATAACTATCTTTAATTAATATAAAATGTAATCAAATTAAAACAAGCTTAGTTACCATCCTGCCCTGCCCACCTTTTGAGATGCCCTCACCTAGTGCAATTCTCAGGCAAAAACAAGTTGTACCAGAGAGCAAATATTTTTAATTCAATGTATCAGCTTTTAATTTTAATTAAAAATGTAATTTTGATTTGATTACTGTGCTGTTCTTTCTCAATACATATTCATAATTATAATCATTTTAAATATTACAGAAAGCCTAAAACATTGGGCTGGAAAGACACTTTTTTTTTTCAGATACAGATGTCCAATGGGGTTTTCTTCTGGATAGGGAAATACAAGATAGCTTGGAGCAGCGCGCTCTTTTTTGTTCCTGCTCTTTGGTGCGGGTTAGCAATCCCGTGTCGGGTTACTTATTTTTCCTTCAAATCAGTGGCCCGTTAATTATGACGGCACAGAGTTGGCATCACCGCAGGGGGCCTGCCGCAATAGGGACGCAAAAAGCCCCTTCTCAGGGAAACCCCCAGCAGGAACCGGGGAGGGGGAGACGCTCAGCGCCCCGCCCC